GGGGTTGTTAACCAATGTCATAAAACAGCATGTGTGTTACTGTTACATGAGAAACTATCTGTTCTGTAAGCCTTCACCTGAAGTACAATAAAATATTTAAAAAAAAAAAAAAAAATTCAGTAGAATGATGAGGCAGAAGCCAGATGATGGAGGGTTGTGGAGTAAAGTTAGAGGAGCAAGTACAAATTTTGAATATGGACAATTATTTCAAGACCTCTGGCAGTGACAATTATGGTGGATAGGCAGGGGTCAGGGAATAGATCATGGAGAAATAGAGTATGACAATTTAGTTTTTGAGACAATTGAGTTATGTAGTTTTCAACACAAAGAGAGAATACTCTGGTAACTACTGTATGAGGAGGAAGGTAACCACATATAAAGAAAACTCTGTGCTTTTAAAGAGTTTGCAGTGTAACCCAGCGGGCAATAAAGCAAAACAGCATATTGACAGATGCAAAAATATCAGTGTAATCTAAATAAGAAGAAGTAAGGAAGTGAGAAATCATTATTAGAGTTAGTGGAATTGGTCAAGGAAGGCTTTCTAGAGGAGTTTTTTTTTTTTTTCCCCAAATAGAAACATCAGTCTTCTCCTCAGACTTATGAAGAGTTTTCTTGCTACAGTATGATGTGTCACAGAAGATTGACACTCTTAAACATGTCTTCAGCTGAACAAGAAAGCACGAATCAGTTACACCATGGTGGAAGGGAATATTTTTTAATTTACCTTGATTGTTCCCTTACCTTTCCCCACACTGTCAGTCAATCATTGGCAGCTAGATTTTGAGCAAGCTGCCTGTACCCTTAGGAGGCAGATTGCAATGGCTTTTCTTGGGAATGGTGACTTGAACTTACCACTAGAAAGATCCATGATAGTTATCTATAGATATGTAGCGTATATATATGTATACATATACGTATGTATGTATATGTTGTAGATAATTATTTTTCTTGAATAGGTTTCTAATTTAAATGTTTAACCCCTAAATAAATTATAGATTGTTTTGATTTCAGAGTGAAGAGTATTTTGATGACAAAATGTTATCTGTAGTAAGTAGTTTTAAAATATATATAATTCCTACTATAATCTGGTCCACTGACTGCTTTTTTTTTTTTTTTAAACAACAGACAAAACAATTTGATTCATTTTACAGTTTGGCTTGGGAGTCAGTAGATTAATGTGGTAATAGTAAATGATGATGTCAATAGTGATTAATTTTTACTGAGCATTTAATATATGCCAAGTACTGGGCTAAGTGTTTTAAATGAACTGTCTCATTGTTGGGAGACAATTCTCCGTGGGTCTCTCACATTTCTGCATGTCTTGTGAGCAGAGGCACTTATTGTCTTTTGTCCTGGATTATCTTTTCAAGGATGTTGGTTTGGAGAACAGTATTGGAAGATATAAATGTCTCCCTCCCGAGCAAAAGACTTTCTTGGAAAAGGAGATAAGGATAGCTGCTTTAGCTGTTCCCATGTTACATATGAGAAAAACAGACTCAGTAACCTGTCCTAACAGCAATAGTTAGATATGTCTCCTATCTCCAGAGGCCATCTTTCAAGCAATGAGCTACTCAATTCCAGTTCAGGTGAAGTCGCTGGGTCAACTTCCTCTTACTGCATCATGAACCATAAGGAAATTATATTTGAGTAATCATAAGAAATTATCAGTGTCATGCCAAAGGCTGCATGTTCATGTCAGCAGGAGAGAAGAGCAGTTAATAAAGCATTCTCTGTTCATTCCTTCAGCAAACCCTTTTTTTGTTCACTAACCAGGTTTCTGCCTGATATATAAAAATGTACATTAACTTAAAAGCTATTACGTTGACATTGCTATAAGCTAGAGATATCATCCACGAAAGGTGAAATTATTGGTTAAAACAAACAAACAAACCAACCAACAATCAAAACCCTGCACTCTTCACTGCTCTACTAACCTAGAAATAAGGCTATTTATTTATAGATTAAAACTGACAAAAGGGAATTTTTCAAAGATCCTGTTTACCCAACTTATCATAGCACAATTTTTTTTATTATTGTATTAAGTTTAAACCTACTTTGCAATGTATATGGCACATGGCAGATGCTCAGTAAATGTCATTTGAGTGAGTCTAAAGCATTGTGGCTCTTCATAGGATGATAATATTAATAAATTGGTCAGAACTTTGGATCTTCTTGGCCTTTTAAAACATTAACAATGCATGCTTGCACTTGCATGTGGTTATTTCCGTACTTCATTCCAACAAGGTCAAAAGTATTTTTTTGATAGAATTTTGTTATTTTTCTAATGATTCTCGAGAAATGGAATTTCATCAAGGGGCTTGAGATCCTGTTCGTTCATTCGTTTCCCTTCCCTAAATTTGCTGCAATATGGGTTCATAGTTCTTATGTTTTGGGGAGGACATTTCAAAAATGTCAGAAAG